GAAGATGAGGAGTTGGCTACACTTTCGGAAGCACAAGCCTCAATTAAAATAAATGCTCAAACTATTTATAGTGCTTATCAAATTGCAATAAATCATGCTAGACCAAATGTTCCAACTCCTTCTTCTTCTAGTTCTCAATCATCTAAAAGAACTGCGGGTGTAAGAACACTTACTGCTTGGGCGGGGTTCTCAAGGTTCTAGTACTAGTGATTGTGCCCGAGATATTTTAACCATTCAAGCTTCAACAGTGGCATCGGAGAGCGCTTTCAGTCAAGCAAGACTTCAACTCGGTGATTATAGAGCGTCTATGAGGGAGAGCTTGGAAAAATCAGTACTTTGCAGAGTTTGGATCGTTCAGAACGAAGAAATTTTGGACTTGCTAAATCACAACCAGAGATAGACGAAGCTTACGAAGAAATGCTAGCTGAACTTGCGGAGGATGCAGCTTCGCCCGGAAGAGGTGATGAACAAGCTTCTTTTCCGCCACCACTAACGGAAATTCCTCCGAACCTCGAAAGATTTATGAAATTTGTAAGAGATACCATGTAAAATTAATATGTAACTTGTATTTTGGCACATGTTGATTAGTTTTTTTTCTTCTCAATGGTAGTATTAGCACCTTGTTGTGCTCATTCCATGGGGGGAGGAAGACTAAGAAAGATATTGCTATGTTTTGTTAATGTTATAATAAAATTATAACGCATTGCTTTGAATATCTCTTTACTATATTTTTGCGTTTAAATTTGAATTCACAATTCTATAATATAATTTTTACAAGGAATTGCCTTAGATAACAATTTTTTTAAAAAAAAAAATTAAAATTAACCGTTGGGCCCACTTAGGCCCACATAAGCCCACATAGGCCCGAGACCAGCCCACTTAGCCCGGGACCATTAGTTCGTGGTCCCGGTCCCGGGCCGGTTCCTACCAAAAGCCCACGAACCCCGAGACCACTTAGGACCGGCCCACGAGGCCCGTTTAGGCTCGAGCCCTACCCACATTACACCCCTAATTTTGTCCGAAGTACTAGAATAGAAATAGGAAAACCAGTATTGATGAAGCTAGAGCAATAGATTGAAGTGCACCATCTGTAGTGTTGTGAGAGGTGATGCGAGTTTCATGGTCTAGAAGAAGAGCTCTAGTCCTCTCAAATGAAGGCAATGGTGAAATAACATAGCCACTAAAGGATCATATTCAGCTGGAAGGTTATTCAAAAATTATTGCGCTAATTCATCATTGGTTTGAGAAACACCGAGAGCAAGGAGAGAGCCTCTCAAGTGCTTGAAATTTTGGACATAGGCATACATAGACATGGATTCCGTTTTCAAATTCTGCATTTCGATCTTGATTTGAAGTTGGCCGGCCGATGCATAATCCAGAAATAACTGATGGATGGAGTCCCAAGTTTCTTTGGCAGTGAGTTCAGAAGCGGGATCAAAGATTTGTTGGAAAACCTCAACAAAGATAGTGGCATTTATCCAAGAAATAATAATGGCATCTTCATGAAGCCATTGATCGAGGGTAGTAGAGTATGGGTGATTCAAATTAAGCTTTAGGAACTACCCACGATTGCAAAGAATTCAGTTTAGGTTATTATTGAAAAAGTCAACAAAAGTCAACACCCGGGCCTGCTTGGTCCAAACCCAAAATTCGGATCGAAAGCCGATTACCCACTCATCCCGAGCTTGGTTATGAAATTTATTTTGGAATCTGACCTCAATTTGAGGTCTAAATCCATATTTTCAAAAATCCCTAATCCTACCAAAAACCCCCCAATTTCCACCTGAAAACTCTAGATTTTAGGTTGAAATCTTAGGAAAAGTAGTGAAATATTGAAAGAAACTAGTTTAGAATCACTTACCAATGATTTGGGGAAGAAAAGTTCTATGAAAACTCGTCTCTAGGGTTCTTGAGTTTGAAAATTTGAAGAATGAACCAAAAATCCCGTCTAAGTCATATTTGATCAGTTGCAGATGTCGTATTTGTGACCTGGGGTTCACAAATACGAACCCCGCAAATGGGAACCCCGTAAATGCGAACCCCGCAAATGTGAAGGATCAATCACAAATGTAAAGACCATCACACATCTGCTTTCTTCGCAAATGAGTACTTGACCATCCACAATTACGACCACTTGATCGCAATTGCGACCACTGCTTGCCCCAGCTCCACTTCACAAATGCGAAGTTCTGTCTGCAAATGTGAACACTGGCTCCCTGCAAATGCGACCTCTTGATCGCAAATACGAACTATGGCTGGCCCAGGTACTCTTCGCAAATGCATAGAGTTTGCTCGCAATTGCGAGCCTGATAGCATTGGGGAATGTTCGCAAATGTGAACACTGGTCTCGCAATTGCGAGATCAAACATACAGAAATTGAAGAACCAGCTGAGTTCTAAGTCCAAATTTCATTCCGTAGCTTATCCGAAACTCACCCGAGTCCTCGGAGCTCTAAATCAAAAGTGCACACAAGTCTAAAAATATCAGACGAACTTGCTCGCCCAATCAAATCGCCAAAATAACACCTAGAACTACGAATTGAGCATCAAATCAATTGAAATTTTCAAGAAAACTTAGAAACTTCTATTTTCACAACCGGACGTCTGAATCACGTCAAACCAACTCCGTTTCTCACCAAATTTTACTGAGAAGTCATAAATATGGTATTGGACCTATACCAGGTTCCAAAATCACAATACGGACCCGATATCCAAAAGCCAACCATTGATCAAACATTTCAAATTAATTACGTCTTTAACTTTCAAATTTCAGCAAAGTCCGATAACTCGGGCTAGGAACTTCCAAATTCGATTTCGGGCATATGCCCAAGTCCCAAATCACGATACGGACCCACCGGGACCGTCAAAATACGAATCCGGGTTCGTTTGCTCAAAATGTTGACCGATGTCAACTCAAATGGATTTCAAAGCAAAATTTCGTATTTTTCTTAGTTTTTTTAACAGCTTTCCGAGTACACGCTCGGACTGTGCACGCAAATCGAGGAGGACTAAAATAAAGTTTTTAAGGCTTCAAAGTGTAGATTTAAGTACTAACACACAAGATAACCTATCGGATGATCACAAAAGGAGAGGAAGAGGAACCATCAACATGCCCAACAAAATTGTACAATCGGAGAGTATTGAGAAAAACATGTCGCCATAGCAAGTAATTGTTTAACCCAAGAAGAACTTTAAGCAAACTTTTGATGTTGGGAATAGCAGTCATATGGTTGACATTTAAGATTTGAGTAGAAGAAATATCAGTGGGAGAAGTGGGAGAAGCTTCAGAGGACATGACTGGAGATGGAATAGAAGGGAAAAAATAACTGTTGAGTAAGGAGTTGGAGGTTAGATTAGAAGAGTAAATTGAAGAGGAAAACAGAGAAAAAATAGAGTTTGGAAGGTAAAGGATCACTATGGCTTAACTGATACCATGTAGAAAGATATAAAGAGAGTAAGTAGAATGGCTTCAGTTTTGCATTTTCAAGTAGCTATTTATACATATGTACACCAAATCATATCAGATCCTCTAATTATACAAAAATATTATGCAGAATCATATCTAATCCTATTATACAAAAATATTCTAAGAATGAAATCCTATATTATACAAAATCAAATACGATCCTTAGGATTATACTCTATCACTTTGCTCTTCTCATACTGACTAAACTTGTAGTCCATGTACTAAGTCTTACTTCTACTTATCTTAAAATCCTTATTTTATAAGGTATTTTTCCATAGCTCAAACGTCTAGTTAACGCCCTCGCTAGTTTCGTCTATTAGTACTATATCATCAACAAATAGCATACACCGCGGGACCTTATCTTGTTGATGCTGGTTAGTTTATCCATGACTATGGTAAATAAGTAGGGGCTCGATGCAAAACTCTGATGTAAACCAACTGTTATGAAAAATTCCTCTATATCTCCTACTACTATTCACGCTAGTGACAACTATTTCATACATATCCTTTATGACATTATATGTTTAATATGAAATCTTTTCTTCTCCATCACCCACCAAAGGACGACCTTCCGTAGTATCTTTCTTCCGTTCATAATAAATTTCCATCAATCTTCAAAGTTAGAATATAGCCTCCATAAAAATCTACTACGCATAGATCCAAATTGGTTGTCTGTAACTCTTATCGCGTTTCTAAATCTACACTCTATCTAGAGACATAATTAGCTTGAGAATAATTACAATCTAGATTAAGCTAATTAATTAATCTAGTTATAATACTTCTAACAACATCCTTAATATTTCAAATTTTATAGTTAATTAGTAAGTTTTTTCTATAAACTATATTCTCATAAGTCATGAGTTATCCCCAGTAGGGTTGCCCCTGCAACCAGGGGGATTGGAGAGGAGGGGCTTTGGAAAGTGCTAAAATATTACAATTGTGAGTCGAACTCATGTCCTAAAGCGTTTTAGTTCTCATGAATTGAAAACCCATTATAATTTTATTTGTTTTTTTTTTTTTAGATTAAGACGTCTGAATCTGGATACATATCTGAATATCAGATGTGTATTAAGATTAAGACACTTGAATCTGAATACACATCTGAATATTAAGATGTGTATTAAGAGCTGAATACTAAATGTTTAAGACTGTTTGTTTTTTTAACATTTGAATATATAAAATTTCTCTTTATATAAAAATTAATAAACATAAAATTCAAATAAAATAATAATTAATCTAATATTCTGTCAATGTGTGTGTGTGTATGTACACACACACATATGATAGTTGGTGGTGGTGGGTGGCTAACTGAGGTGCTTGTTAGTGCCGACTAAAGATGGTGGTTGGTGATAGTTTTGATTGATGGTGGTGGTTCTAGGTAATAGCCAATGATGATTGGCAGCGATGACTATTATGGCTAAGGATGGTGGTGGTGGTGAAAGTTAATAATGATAGGTGGTGGTGGTGGTCGTTGTGATTGAGGAAGGTGATAGTTGGTGGTAGTAGCTAGCTTATAATGGTGGGCTGTGCCGACTATGGTTGTTGATGGTGAATTGGTGATGGAGTGGTTGGTTGGAGCAATTGAGGTGGGTGAGAGTGTGGTTGTGGTTGAGAATGATGGTGGTGGAGGTGGTGGGTGGTAGCGGTTATGGTTGAGGATAGTGGTGGTGGTAGTTTATAATGGTAGGCGGTGGCAGCACTTCGTAAAAAATACAGATAATAACATTTTAATGAAGTTAAATCTTTGTTATAGATTTTAATCATACAAACATATTCAGACTCATTAAGTGATTGTGAAGTGAAAAAAATAAACACAATTAATAGTTGAGATAATGATTAAGATTCAGACTTTGAAAACACATTTAATGGCTGAAATCTGAATGATTAAGATTCGGACCTCCTTAAATGCAAACAAACGAGGCCTTATTCGCAGTGTAATTTTCTATTGAAAGAAATTCAATTAAACACCCATGGACAAATGATGCTGTCACTACTTGCAACTTAATTGACCTATACTAGAAGTTCATAACATATGTTATTACACTATATAAAAGTCTCTATATGAAAATGAGATGTTATTATAATCAGGCAAGGTTGCTATCACTAGGGCCTACTGTAGAAATTATACATTTAAATCTTCATGTCAACAATAAATAATCTATTCTCCTTACTATAATGTATTTGCACAAAGCCCTCTCATTATATATACATTCTTGTGAACCAAAGTTTTCAAGTTGAACTTAGCCAAAATGGTGATGAGTAGCAGCTTTGAGAAGTCATTCAGAATCAAACATGAAGACAACAAGTTTTTCTCTAAGCTTCTTTCAAAGGAAAATTCCAAAGCTTCTTCTTCTTCTATTCCTTCTTTTAGAGTTTACTATAATGATGTTCCAAGTTCTGTTCCTTTTACTTGGGAGTTACAACCTGGTACTCCTAAACATAATACTTTTTCTGAAACTTCTTTGTTGCCTCCTCTTACTCCTCCTCCTTCTTACTACTCAAGCATTAATAATAATACCAATAAAAACTCCATTAAAAGGAGTTCAAGATCCAAGATTTTTCATGCTTTAATCATGAAGTTTAATCCCAAAAAATCTCAATTACCTTTATCACCTTCTTCTTCTTCTTCTTCAATATCATGGTCGTCTTCTTCACAGTATTCCTCATTCTCTGCACCTACAACACCTTCAAATTTTAACGGACGACGTCGTTTTTGTAGCCAAGAATCGTCTTTTGATAATTATCGTGAAGATATATCGCCAGCATCAAAATTATGTTTTGGTATGAGCAGCAAAGCTAGTGCTAATTCACTCTTTATGGTGAAAAAAGCCTTGTTTTCCATCGCCAGTGGTCGTGGATCTAACTAAGGTTCTTTAGAATTCATCATTTCTTTTTGTTTTAATTATATTTTGTACTCTTTTTTAGTCAACATTATAACCTGTTGGAATGTTCTCCAAGATGAATGTAATTAACTTATTTACTATTCATATGATCATTTATTCCTTTTGCTTTTTAATTATATTTTCAACACGCTCCCTCGCTGATTTTTTTATTTAAGGGTTAGGTACGTGAATTTTTTTTTCCGATAATGTGGACTTTGAGATAATTGAACCTAGAATATCTACCTGCTTCGATATCATATTGAATTATATTGTCATAAGCCTCGTCTAGAAGTTTAAAATATTTGAGTGTACATTTTTATTTACATAGAGAGGCAAAATCAGAATTTGAAGCTTGTAGGTTCGGGATTCTATTTTGTTTATGTTACTGAATTCTAAATTAATAATTTATACATATTCAATGGATTTATGCGGAGTTTAGACCAAATTTATTTGGTTCGACCGAAACCAAATTCTATGCTAGTTCTGCCCCCATTTACATGGTTATATCGTCAACAGCTGTTCTGAGCACAAAATAGACTGATAAAAAAATTGTGACTTTTAGTTGCTTTATGTTTGGTTCCATAGTTCCATTATCATATCATGATTGCTCTAGAGTACGTTGGATCAAGTCAAGAAATTAAATCAGTTAGGAACATGACATAGCACCAAAAAGGAAAGAAACAAGATCAAGAATCTCTCGACAAAGTAATTAATTATTATAATTAATGCAATAGTTCTATCTATGGCAGATCAAATTTGAATCTTTATTTAAATACTGAAAATCTTAATTAAAGTGGTTAAAATAATATGTGATGAAAGCGAACAACCGAGGATTTTGGGTATATATTAATTTATGATAATATACTAAAATAGTATTACTCCGTAGCAGTTCAATTATCTAGTGGAAGTGTTGAACAAGGAGAAGACAAAAGTCTTGGATGAATGAGTGTGTCCCTTTTAGATGTATTAAATAAAAAGGAAGGAAAGTTAGTTGGAAGTTTCTGTCCAAGTAAATAAAAGTCTTCCCTAGTTCTGCAAAATGGAATCTTTTTAGCTGTATTGTTCACTAAAGTAGTGGTAGGGAAGCTTCTACTTTGTTAACAGTACTTATGCTACGTGGTGTGAGCAAACACATAAAATTATATATTAGCACTTAATTTGCATCATAACAAAATGTGGTGATATTCTGAACATTACGTCTGTTCAAACTTCAAAGTATCATCCGTAGTTTGTCAAACTGTAAGTAATTCCTCGTTTGGAATAAATATAATTACATATTAAAGAAAATTTAAGAAGAAAATGTTCTGGAGTGTATGAAATGAACAGCTTAATTAAGGAGTTTCACATGTACATAATATTATACTGATCAAACAATTACTCTCCAATTTTACTTATCTAAAAAGTATTATTGATAAAAATGACTTTTCAAAATACACATATTTTGGAAGTTTGCCTGTGTCCCGATCCAAAATCCACCTAATCGTGATGGCACCTAACCCCAATATTAGGTAAGCCAAACATAGAACAAGATAACTCAATTGATAGATTATTAATAACAAGGAATAAAATGATTGAATTCTATACAACCTCCCAATGACTGGTAGTACAAGTTATGAACCACTATGATCTAGATTTACAAAGCCGATATGAAGAATAAATACAATATCTATTTGAAGTTTACATAGACAGAATTTGAAATCCTAAACTACCATAAAAAAAAAAGAGGTAGCTCGAATCTGGAACGCGGGTACGTCCTCATTGCAAGGCTTCGTATTCCACAGCCACGTAACTCAAAGATCTGCACACAAGGTGCAGAAATGTAGTATGAGTACAACCGACCTCATGCACTCTGTAAGTATCTTGACTAATCTCAGTGAAGTTGTGACGAGGTTTTATGTTAAAAGATACTCACTTATTACTTAACTTGTGCGGATGATAAGCAGAAAGAGAAATACGAGAAAGAGATACGAATAACCACGTAATAAATGAAACAAGAATATAAATGACAAAGGGCCCCAGAATATAATCATTTCTCAGTCTCACAATGTTTAACCAAAAATTAGATTTTAGGTCAAAGATTGAACTTAGAAGAACTCGGGTTACTGATAATCGGAAAAGTATATAAGAAAGAGACTTTGAATAATATAATCAGAAAGCAAATAAAACAAAGTATATTCCAATAGTGTTTTTTCGTGTCCTTACAGTTGTTTGTGACTTTCCCTTTTATAGCTGTTTTGGGAATACAGACTTTCCCTTTGTCATAATAAGACAATTATGGGTAATTAATGACTTTAAATGTTACGTTATGCAATCATATACATTAAATACATATTCTCTAACGTTTCTAGTATTTAATACTCATTAAATGCTGTATCTGGGCTCTTTTTTGCTGTCAGATTCATTTCTTTGTCTCTTCTCGATCTTTGACCTTTGAATGTCTTGAATAGGTACGAGCGTTGAATTATTTGTATGACTGCTCGTGCCTTCTTCATTTAACCTTCTCATATCTGTTGTTGCTCATGTCTGTTAACCAACCTTAATTCTTTGACTGTTTGATCAGTCTACGTGTCATGACACGTCACCATATATATAAATACAATTTTTCCCAATACAGATAGTCCCCCCACTTTCCATTTATTCGTCAGTTTGAATATTTGGGAAGTGGAATTCATTAAAGGAGAATTTTTGTCACCATTAATGTTCTGACAGAGTTTGACGCTTTAATTATCACTTTCATTTAATGCTTTAGACACGTGTCATCTTCTTATTGGTTCCACAGTTTACAACACTTTTTCAGGCTGTCTTTTCGGCTCCACTTTTGATGAAGTATCAGTTACCACTATTGTGATCCTTCCATTACTGCGTTTTTACTCTTGACGGTCACCCATCAGTATAAATTCAATTTTTCCTTTCACCTTTTACCACATAAAACTTTTTCCTTGAACACTTGAATTGTGCGAATCTCTGTTTACTTCTTTTTCTTCTTAAATCATGTCTTCTTCGAACCCTAACCCTAAGAGAGTTCCTATTTTAGACAATTTTCCCAATGCCCCTGTTAGACATAGAAGAGGTGGGAGACTTCATAGCTTAGGATCCTCTCGTGGTGGTGGTTCTGCCATGCCTTCTCCTAGCCCTGGTTCTTCCTCTAGAACTAGAGGTTCTTTTACTCAAAAATCATCTTCTAAGAAATAGGAGGCCTCTAAACCATTACAGGAACCCTTGGTAGAAGGAATAGTCCCTAATGATTTATCTTTTCAGTACGATAGACAATCACTTCAGACCCAAATTTCTGGTTTGGATCGTGTTGATGCTTACCCCACTATGATTACAGATATTTTAGCTCCCATAGTTCGCAAAGATTGTCACTGGAGTAACGATTTTCCCATTGTAATCCCCAATCCAAATAAGAGGATTACTTCATATATGACTGGACTCTCTTTCGTTTACACATACCCTTTTACTCTTGGGTTTAAACCAGCTATCGACCCAGTAATTCTCGATTTCTGTCGTTTCTTCAAAGTTTGTTTAGCGTAGATTGGCCCGCTTGTATGGAGGGCTGTTGCTTGTTTAAGGCATCTGGCCAATTTGGCAAACGTTGATTTCACCTTCTCCCACCTAATTCATCTATACTCCCTTAGACTTTTTCGTAATGGCGTCTTTACCTTAGTGGCTAGGAGTAAGAGGGTTTTGGTGAGCCCAGAAGATGATAAGGATCATGGCTGGTATGCCCGATTTATTGCTGCCCCCAGAGTTGGTTTAGTGGGTGAACAAAACATTCCCTTCCCTGAGAAGTGGAACTTTGCACGTAAGTCTCTCATCTCTCCCGTACCTCTTTCTTTCGAATTTACAAATTTCTTTAACTTAGTTTCTCTTTTTTTTAGCAACCATGGGAGTTGTGGAGAACATTCCCAATTTTCGTGGTTGGGTAGATAAATTTTTGAAGATCACTCCTATGGAGGCTAGGTCTTGGAAATTTATCTCCAATCGTCATGGTTGGAAAGAAAAGACTCACGGTATGAGCTTTTGTCTTTCTCATATATAAGATTTTTCTCTTTATTGCCTTAACTTTCAATTTTCTCTTTGTCAGGTTTTGCTATTCGAGGTGTTACTGCTGAAGCAGTTGCAGCTTCTCGTTTAGGAACCCAACTTTCTTTAGAAAGTGCTCAGGATATTCTTCTGAAAAGAAAAACCACAGACGATGATAGCTCCGACGAAGAAGAGGAGGATGGTTCCTTGGTGAAAAGGCCAAGAGTTCGGAGATGTATCGTCTATGATGAAGCTGAAGTTTCTCATCATCTTTCTCCTACCGGGCCTGTTAATCTCGTCTCTGATGATGATGTTGCTACCCCTCATGATACTCATGAGTCGATTAACCAGCTTTTCATTAGTGGTTTTGGGAGTGGCGAGTTAGGACCCGTTTTGGATGAACCTCCCCTATCTTCTTCTTCAACTCCCATATCTTCAGTTCCTTCCCTTCCTTCTTCTGTCGTGCCTTTGGTTCCTTCCTTATCTGCTCCAACTTCTTCCGCACCTCCCGTTGCTGTTTTTACTTCTTCTACCGCTCCTCCTTCTACTGTCCACAATGTAGAAGCGGGTTCTACAAGCAAAAGGATTGCTATGAGGAGCGTGGCTATCGAAGTGCCTGCTAACAACAGCCTTTTGAGGAAATCCGGTCAGGCGGATGTTTGGCTTGAACCTTTAATAGGCCCAATTGAGAAAGAGAAAATGAATAGCCATAGCTGCCTGACTCTGATGAATGACATAGTTCATTCCACCTTGAAGGCATGCCCCTTCTTTCTTTAATTTTGCCAGAGTTTTTCTAGAATTCTAATTTTTCATTCCTTATCATTTTCAGGCCAACCTTATTGGTACAAAGTTGATGAGCAGAATTTCTTTATTAGAGAAGGTGGCACGTGACTCTGAAAAGGCTGTTCTTGATTCAGAGAGGAAAGCTTGTGACATTCAGTTGGAAGCAGCTAATTGGA